AGTGGAGTCGCCCCGAGACAACGACCAAAGGTCAGTTTTCTGTTTTGCCTCTCGTACAGTAAGTATGGATTTGTGGAGGACGGGCTGCTCCCAGATCTGCCTATGAGCTCCTTTTGGTCACAGTGGCTTCCAGACATGGAGGTTCAGATAATTGGCTGCAGGGAGCTCCATAATGAGCCTGGGGGTCTGTAATATGACACATCTTCAAGGAGAAATATTTTAATAGGGCAATTACGGCGACGAGGAGGATGTTTTGCGTAGAGTGAGTGATTGTTGTGGAGGGGCGCTGTGTTAAGGAATTCAATGGCATTTAACTCCATTATCTATTGTGTGGCTCAGTAGTAAGGAGATTTTCAATATGATTACAGTCTCATTTGAGCTTATTTTCGTCTGAATGGTCTGACCCAACAGAGCAGGTCACATTATGCTTAAGAGTTGCATTTGCAATTATTATCCAATATTATGCAGAAAGAAAGTGGGTAACTGGATGTAGCCATAGATCCCTCTGGTGATTTGACAGTTTAAGGTGGAACCCATGAATGAGTCTGTCTGCAAATTGGTCGAATCCAACTTTAGAATCTGGAGTTGCTTGACATATATGATGTTAAAGAATTTTCTATTATGCTGGCCAATGCATTTAACAGCAGTGAATAATTAAACGCTGCGGTTAAATCCAGCACAAAAACACAGCACTGTTTAATTCAGCACAATTCATATGCTCAGTTTCATCTGAAGATTTTGCCCCCGGCAATGCCTCCAACTCAACCAACCACCACCTCTGAACCACTCAGACTTACCAACCGCAAGAGCAACCAGTCAGCTCTCTGACACTGACCCGGCTCGCCTGCCTCATTTTAACAATATCTCCCCTTCAATCATCCAAAGTGGTCTGACTATAGATGAGGTTAACTACAGCATAAGCCTTACTTCCAGGAGTCACCAGGGCCAATTATATCAGCCTGACTACTCTTCCCAACCTGAGCTCTATGGTGTGGAAAATGCAGTTCCACTGGCCGCATCACTGGGGACAGAACAGGCTAGTGCTGTCTGGAGCCTGAGCCAAGCGCAGGCCAATTTGGCATGCAGAGGTCTATGGAGAATAAGCCTGATGAAATATATATATGATCTTCTTCAAACATGTATTGTTCCGCGCTACTGTGTCTTATCAGGCTGGCTCCCTCCTGATGTCTTCCAGGCTTGGCAGAGCGAGACTCTACAGCGCAGATTGTGTGGGGCCGATGCACAAGGAATGCTAAGGTTCTCTCTACAGTAAACAGTAGGATGAGCTATATCTGGCCTGCCTATTGATGAAAGCAAGTTCAAAGCACTGCAATCACAAGACATCAGGTATTCATGTATTCCAAGATGCAGGAAATAAATAATCCCACTCATGCAGATAACAATGGAGCAGATGATATTTCTAAGGTGCAGTGCAACGTTCATCAGCTGTTTTATTATAGTTCAGAACAATTAAAGCTTTATTACATATAAACCCTTTTACTGCCTGCTCTAAAAACAAATAGCTTTGGTTTGTGCAATAAAAGATCATGTCTTAAACTTGGCTTTTATTTCTGTACACAACAGCCTCACAGTGCAGTACCACAAAACACATCTACAGAACACTGCTGACCTCTGCCTGTCACAGTGGGGAACTGCATCCAGCATTTCATAATAATAAACCCACTATCGCTGAATTACTCAGCTACACAGCAGTCCCATCAAGTGGGGATGTGAAATCTCTCATAAAAAAAACAACACTCAAAGAAATGTGTACATATGCTCTTAATTGTGGACGCATACAGTACTATGCAGATGCGTTGGAACACTGATTTCAGCAGGCTTCATGAAGAAGAACGCACTCTCAGACAGACAGACAAGATATAATTTATTAACCAATATGGCAATTTATACAGAGAAGCAAAGACAGAGGAAATGTTTCAGTGATGATGCTTCTGCTTGAACTGTAATCCACAGTAGCCACATGTGCCCACTTTTGTGTCTTTATCCTGGAGAAAGAGTGACAGAAAATTATAGAGTTAGAAGCTGTAATTTGGGGCCCTTGCATAATCTGTTACAGTGATTGTAGGATTAGCTAAATTCCAGCTAAAGAAACATTACAGATTAACTTGTCGGAGTAAGGCCATAATCCATGTTCGAATAATTCTAAATTTTGATTATTTTAAACTTCATTGTCATCGCACAGAGTACAGGTACTGAGACAATGAAATGCAGTTTAGTATCTAGTATGGGTTCATTCAAATCCAAATACTATACATTTGCATGCACTTTAAGAGTATCCTGGTTATTTTCAGGCTTCTGCAGTACCCCATTTTCTTAAACATTACGTAATCAAAAAAGTGTTGCCATTTTCTGTCTTCTAATATCACTGAGTGAATAATAATGCTTGGATCAGGGGGTTTACGCGTTTCATTGTATTCCAGTCTGCAATCTGACTAAATGTTCTAAAATTAACTCAGAAAGAATTGATTGAATCTCAAATATACCTGTGAAATAATCTCAAATATACCTAAAGAACATGTGCATTAAACCACAAAAACACTTCACAGCAACCAAATTATTGGCTGATGGTAAACAAAGATTAAATAGCCACTGTGACACAGAATGGCCGATAAAGGCATTGGTTGGACTTGGGGGTTTTGTCCATGGATAAATGGAGGACCTTCATCATATTAGTGTTTGCAGGCTCTTACCAGGTTGATGAAGACTTTGGGGTGGCCCAGGGCTCCTCCACCTCCATCACAGGACACCACTCTGGCCTCAACCTCACTCACCGGCTCCTCTGCCACCAATTTGATGGCAAAGTTCTGATTCACCTTGACGCAAACAATGTGAATTCTGTTATTATCGGCTCAGTAAAATACGAGGTTTATATGGGAGAGAGGTTAGCTACACAGTGTGTTCACAAACACTCTCATGGTAGATGTAACTGATTACATATAAATTAGCTGTCTGAGCTTTATGATGCTTGTTTGTCAGTTCTTACCTCTTTCTGCCTGCCAACGAATCTGGCTCTCCTGGGATCATTTTCATCATACACCTGAGAGAAAAACACCAACGTTATGAACTGGAGCAGCACATATATATATATATGTATTAATATTATAATATAGTATATATATGTATCGCTATGATATGTATTAGTTATATATAGTATATATATATTAGTATAATAATATACTATATATATATACATACATGATACACTTTTTATATATACATATTCATAGTACATACTATATACTATACTATAATAATTAGTATATATACTATATATATATATATATATATATATATACACATACAGGCTAGATACATATATACTATATATATATATATATATATACGTATAATATTACTATACTACTCAATTATATATATACAATACAATAGATACATAATATATATATAACTATACAATAGATACATATATATATATATCTTATATATTACACATACATGATACATAGGTCAACATATATATATATTATCTCATATGATATATATTATATACACAAAATTATATTATGACACATATATATATTATATATATACTTTATGTATATATTATACTATCAGTATATATATATATATATAGTTAGTGATTTGAGGGTCTGTTTTTGGCCATTAGGTTTTCTAGCTGAGACAAGCAGCAACAACAGCAAAACATCTGCTGGCACCTGGATATAAGCGGTGTTCAAAATCAAAGGAAGGGTTAATGTCAAATTGACAAATGTCAAAGGAAAACGAGAAGAGGTTGTCCGATAATGGGCGCAGGTTCATGGACCTACAAGCTACACTGACACAAGGCTAAGCTAATGTTGGCCACCCAGCACTGCCGTCACGACGTGGAGACTCTACGAGGATCTGAAGCGTACCTGGCCGGTGTGGGTGATGGGCTCGCCGGTGCTGGAAACCTCGAGGCTGTAACGATGAGCCGGTACGGCAGACAGCTTCAGAGGGGAAACAAGCACCTTAGCATTTTTACTGAAGGACAGAAGTCTACCCACTGCGGCCGCCATGTTTACAACAGCCGCTTTTCCCAAGCTGCCTTGCAGAGGACGCTTGTAGTTGAGGGTATAAGCGCCCCGAGTTTTGTCTCGCAGGTTCAAAGTACTGCTATAGTTCGTATCACCCCTAACAAGCTTTACAGTTATGTCCATATATTTAGGAATATATTACACAAAAAAGAAGGATTGAGACATTTTGGAGGTAGGCTCTGCTAATGGTGAGGTAGCAAAGCCGGAGAGGGAAACTTCCTGAGAGGCAAAAATGAGGGCAGTAAAGTCAACCTTACAATTGGAAACCGGAAGCACTTGTATCCTCTCCTCCCAGGCAAGAACAGCACAGCGGTCGTGTTGTGGCGATTAACACGCTCCATTCAGGGACACAGCCCCTGTTTTAAACCTTCACGGGGTTTCAGAAGGGTTTGTTCACATTTTCAATTTTGTGATACGACTGTGTAATGTTGGAAACTAACCCTTGTGCCGTTTTTATGTCTGGTATTGGCGCTAGCAGGTCAACTGTGACACGCTCTTCTCCTTGGCGTGTTGCTGTGCCACAGTGTGTTAGTTGTTAGGCTGCATGTGCTGTTGCATTATGATGCTCAGTGTTTGAGGGATCTGGATATATAGGGGTACAATAGTTTGCACATTTTAATGATTCATAAAATAGCTAGTGACTCTACTAGGATATTTATGTTTATATTGCTAAGTTGAACATGTTGGGTAGGATTACATGCAGTAGTTAGTCTGAGAAAGGTTTGTGTAATGTGATGAACAAGCATTTCTTTCAAATAAGCTTAGAACAATATGACATTAACCAAACCCTGACTGAAAGTAGAGTTTTATTTAGTACAATATGTACAATGTGTACATTTTGCACCTGTGATTTCATATGAATGCTCTCTCTCTGTCCCCCTCCGCAGCCTTTGCCACCATGACGCCCCTCCTCCTGAAGCGCCTGGCTACCTCCCTGACTCGCCAAGTGGCCCAGATGAGCCGGTTAAATCTGACCTCACCAGCAGCTGGTGCTTACAGATGTCTCTGCACCCTCACCACAGCTCCCCGCACACTGCTCCTGTCATCAGCCAGAATCAGCTCCATCCAGCCGCCCTTGCCTGCCTCTTCTGCTCACTGTGGGCCGTCTCTGTTGGGACAGTGTCAGCATCTCCCCTGTGTCCAGCCCTCTGCAGGGATGAAAACCAAGTCTGCCTTGAAGAGGCGATGCAAAGACTGTTTCTTTGTTCGGCGGAGGGGACGTTTGTTTGTGTTCTGCAAGACAAATCCGAGACACAAGCAGAGGCAGGGCTAAAATGTTGATTTAGAAGATTTCTTTGAAATTGTAGATATTTACAAGAACTGTGCTGCATTAATAAATTGTTTCGCTTAAGAATGTGCAAAACTCCTCTTCCATTTGCCTCTTAACAGCAATAGCCCGGAATACATATTTTTTTCATAGTAAAAGAAACTAAATTATAGCGTTATGTTAACTATCATTTTCTTAAACTTACACAACATTTCTCATTTTAAGCATGGCTAACACGAGATTAATTTGAAACAAGTTTAACTTGCAAAATGATCCTATTACCTTTCTCTTAAATAAAGCTTAGTCAGTAAAGCTTTGAACATATACTGTAAAATACAGATGTATGCACAAATATTAAGTTTGACTTGAAATGGAAAAATGCGTTCAGCTGTTTCTCTATAGACCATTGCATGGTTCAGTTATTAGTCATTTTTAAATTTTAACGAAGTAACATGCCACACATTTGATTACAGCTAAAAACCTTCTGCAAATTGCATCTTCAGTTACTTTATTATAAAAGTAATTGTTTTTATCCTGTTCATGGGATAGAAGTGGTTGGATCTAAAATTTTATCTCACCTGTTTTATGTCTGATGCCTTTCCATTGTTCTTCCACAAGAGGGAGCCATAGTCTATGCTACATGAATACAGGCTCTAATCTGCCATGTAATAATACACTTGACTCCCTTTTTCCAACCACTGTTGCCCATTGTAAATGGTTCTAAACACCCTATGGTTACAGATCTGTCTTTATCAGTAGCTTTACAACGCTGACTCACAAAAGCTTGAGGAAAGCAGAAAAGCTTGTGTTGAAAGTTGTCTGTTATCAGGCTTACACACTTATGAGGCCATGTCAGAAACGGTTAGTTCATCCTAGTGACTATGGCCACTTTTGTATGATTGTATTATTACTGAAAGACAGAGAAAGCACAATGTACACAACAGTGACAGGCTGTATCATGCAAACTGTGGAAACCTGTCTGGTTTGATAGATGTTTGGCAACAAACACCGAGCATATGACTGATGCCCCATGTAAATAGTTTTAGCTAAAGGTTAAAATTTACTAATGGAGGATTAAGGAGTAACAAAACACCTGCATGTGGGGTCTTATACTACATTATTTAATCGTATTATCTGTGTAATTAACTTCCAGAGAGCACAGTACGATGGTATTGATCTAATTTAGGACAATATTCAATGGTATTTCACTGAATGGACAAACACATCCCAGAAGCCTCTTTTGTGGCATTAGAGCTGATAACCTACACGCAGAATCCTTTCATAAGCCAAACACATGCCAGAAACTTCCTTTGTGCCTCCAAAGATGTTACCCTACATGCAGAATCCTGTTCTAAGCCCTGTGAGCTAGTGATATGGGCAGAGTTAAACCTGTGATAATGAGTGATCTCATCTGTGGATCAGTGAGCGACTATGTATTTGCAACTGCTAATGTTCACAATGCCAAACTGAGCGTGAATGGAGTCACTGTTGTGTCGCTGGTGAGCTGAATCTCATAGGCGAGGGTGTTGGTGTGTGGTTGATGTGTGGTTGAAGTCCATGGAGAAGACAAGATAGATAGATAGATAGATAGATAGATAGATAGATAGATAGATAGATAGATACCTTTATTTATCCCGAGGGAAATTCT